CAACTTCTCAAGCTTCTTATCTAGCTTTTCAAACTTTTTTGAGACTTCCGGCTCAGACTTAGCCTTCTTGGCAGACATCTCCTTAAAAAACTCGTCATCCTGCCAAGTATCGTTAACATGTTCTTTCCTTTCTGACTCCCCCTTGGCTTCATCACCTTCTATCACCATTTGCTCTTTTCCCTTATCAGTTCGTAAGAGCTTCTCGGGGCTAGATGCCACTATTTTCTCAATCATCTTTTTAATTTTGTAAACGGGAATGTTTGGCTTAGCCATTTAATCAATAGAAATAGAGGCTAGAATTGACAAGTCTGTTTGAACTGGAGAATACTCAAAGCGGGAGCTCGAAGAACTAGTCAGTGTGAAATTAGGCAAATTAGAGGGGGTCGAAGGCTCTTCAACTCTAATCGACCGGCTGTTTGCTCTTAACCAACTGACTGCTTTCAGTGCTTCCTCTCTTTGTGGTGCTATCTTGACTGCACAAAATGAATGTTAGAAAACACGGTATGATGTATGTATGCATGGATGCATGCTTATGGAATGATATACAATGATTCGATCATACAATAATCATATCATGAAATGCGACTAATGCTATATTCCATTGTGGCTTTATCACGATTGCTCAAATCCAAAATCGAAGAAACGCTCTTGAGAACAGTTAGGAGCAAAACGCTCCCTATTTCATAGCCAAATATTTATAATGATCTTATTTTCTTTTTCTTATTTTTTTTATCCCCTACTTTTTGCCTCAATTGTGTTATTACTTGAGCAGGGTTCTTTATTTATATACAATTGAGATTTTTCTTTTTCTTTTCTTTTCTTTTTCTTTTTTTTTTTTTTTCATCAATAACATTTGGCTCAAAAACAGGCTCTTTTCATTATTTTTTCAAAAGTGAACTTTTTACATTAATTGTTCTTTTAAGGCCCTAACTAAATATTTACAATTCTTAAACCTTAAAGCCTAAGAGGTTTGATATGGCTTACTAATATTTACAATTCTTTAACCTTAAGCCTAAGAGGTTTGATATGGCTTTGCATCCCATCCTCTAGAGTGAAGTGACCAATTTCCATAAGACGATTGGCGATATTGTGCATGAGAGTAAATCGCGCCTCCACACCTTGGAAGAGAGTCATTACTTCAAGTTGCGCTTGCTTTAAGTTAAGCCTAAGAGGTTTGATATGGCTTTGCATCCTCTAGAGTGAAGTGACCAATTTCCATAAGACGATTGGCGATATTGTGCATGAGAGTAAATCGCGCCTCCACACCTTGGAAGAGAGTCATTACTTCAAGTTACGCTTGCTTTAAGTTGAACTTGCTTTATTTCGAGTAGGAGTTGATGAACCTCTTCTAATTGGCCTTCCTTTATTGGAGTTGGAATCGGAGGAGCTTCCCTCTTAGGCCTTTGGGCTTCGACCTTATGGTCACTATTGGAAAGAGCTCTTTTGGCTCGTTTTTCTTTCAACACTTCTCTCAAATCTTTCGCCCTTTGGTGCTTTGATCGTCGGGATCTAGCCATGATGGGATATACCTAAATAGCTATAAGGACATAAGTTAACTGATATATGAATGAAATAACACAATCATAGCAATTGTATATAAATAGAGGGGGGGAACGGGAGTAAGGAAATGCATGACCTCCACCCTTATATCTCCCACACACGATTCAAGGTACGGTCTTTTCTAAACCCTAGGACATATATGTTGGGCCCATAAACTATCATGGGATTTTTGACCGATGCCCCTCGCATTTATTAAATGAATGTTACAGTCATAAGTTATTAATGCATTCTTAAATGAAGGAACTAAGGTCATTTACATGAGCTTAGGTCGGATTTATTAAATCTTAGGTTCTATAAGCAAAAATTGGTTGTTTCCTCCCATTTGCTTTGGGTCTAAGCTAATGGTGATAACGGATTGTGCCAATTCTTTTGATATGCCAAATGGTACTTGACTTATGGGTGGATAACGGATTGTGCCAATTCTTTTGATATGCCAAATGGTACTTGACTTATGGGTGGTGTATATTAGTGGCGGATCCAAATAGTCGAGTAGAGTGAGAGGATCACGACCTCTAATATCACCTTTAGGCTTTAGAGTAGAAAGGAGATAAAGAAGAGACAAATGCATGAATGACATTTATAAGTACAAAAAAAGTAAACTCAATTTTGGAGTTTATAACATTATTAAAGATTGTGAATAGTTGGACAACTTTTGGAATCAACTCACTTATTCGAACCCAAAATCGAAAACCAGAGATTCTGGGTTCAATCCCCCAGCGAAGTCGCCAAGCTAAGGACGTCAGACTTTTCCAAAAAGTATGGAAAGAATCTTGTTGAACAGGCTTAGTTCATTTAATTTATTAAATTGATTTTATTATTTAACCCATTTGTTAATCCTTGGAAAATGGTTCTCTTACTTTAGTAAAAGTTTTATTCATTTTTAGAGTCGTCACCCTTATTAAGGAAAATTCTCGAATTAGTCGATTCTTTGGAATCGGCTAATTCAATTTTAAACCAAAGATAGAGTCCGAGAGTTAGGTACGAAATGGGAAGGTGTTAGGCATCTATTTCGCCTGGTTAACCCGACCTCCTAGTTGTCCATTAATTCACAATAATTTTAATAATGCAATTAACTAAAAAATTGAAATGTAAAACCTTTAATGCATCTTTGGAAAACATGTCAAACAAGCAAATTATTGCAAACATTAAACGAACATGAATCATAAAGCATCCACAAAGAAGGGAGGGAGGAGAAAAGAATTACAAACTGCCCTAATTATTACAATCTACCCTCATCCCTCCAAATTTTCCAAACCCAATTAATATTACATATAAACAATAATAGAAATCCTTAAAGACCATTTGCATTTTGCAATAATACAATACCAAAGCATAATAAGGATAAAGCATACATAATCAACTCAAACATGAAACAAACATTATTCTTAGAATTATAGAATCATACAACCCAACCAACAATCATTCATTCATTCACATAATGGAAGTATGATGCATGTTCCTAATACAAGAATAATGAATAAAGGAGTTAGCACAATAATGAGAATGAGACATTGAATTTAAAGGAATAAAATTAAGGGTCAGAATAATAATGTGTTTCTAAATTAAAGAACAATAATTGAAGTGCAGGAATTGAAGTGCAGGAATTTGAATGATTATATGAGATTCAAAATGATGATCTTGATGTTCATCTTTGAAAGATGAGCAAATACATCAAACATAGTTCCCAATCTTATTTTATTTATTTATTTGATCCATATATGAACTAATACGCATCACAAACCATTTAAGGTCGAAGCTTGGCCACTGGCTCTCCGAATCGGGATGTCTATCGGATTTTTTTATACATTCAAAGCCTCTGAATTGAAAGGCCTTATGCCACATGTGTCTACAATGTGTGCCTCATCCTTATGGCGCACGACACACGTAGTGGCACAGGGCCGTTCCACGATCAGGAAGGCTTCCGGAGGTTATAGGGTGAAAACAAGGTTTGGGCACTAGTGGCGCGAGGCATTAGGAAGTAGCGCACGCCACTACCATTGGCCATACGCCATAGTAGTGTAGAAGCTCCTGTTTGGTTGATCCTAGATTTTTCTCACAACTAGACCCAGAAAAGGTGTTTTTGAAATAACCAGAATTTTTATTTTCAAAGATTTTTCGTTTAAATTTAATAAACTGACAGCGTGGAAAATGTATTTAAATATTTAAACGTGAATTAATAACGTTGACATTAATAATTTGTACAGTGATAAACCCGAATCGAAACCAATTGAAAATTGAAAAATCAAACAAAACAAAGATTTGGGCCCGAACGAAATCAAATCGAATCAGCCCAAACCACTTCTAGAAGCCTCTCCCCTCTATATCCAGCGCAAACTTCACCCTCCCCTCACCATTTCTGCAACACCTCTAGCAGCGCCACCACTGCCACCTCCTCTTCTTCTCTTCTTCTCTTCCTCCTTCTCTCTCTTCTTTTCTTTCTTTCCTTCTCCTTTCTCTTCACCTGCGTCTGCGTTTCTGGCGAGAAACAGAGCAGCAGCAGAGGCACCGGGTCAATCGCGCCACCTCGCTGCCGCTCGCCGTCGCAGTAGCTCCGCCATCACCGTTCCTCAGTTCCCGTTCAGGCTAGCACAGTTGACAGGAGCAGCACCACAGTCGATCTATCGCGCCACTGCCCTGCCGTCGCTCCAGCGCGCCTCCGACCACCAGGAACGGGTCTGTCAAGCTTCATCGCGCCGCCTCATTTACCTCTCTCTGCCACGCCAGTCAGATCCGGCCGATCTACAATTTGCGACAGAAATTAATAAACTTGGGGTAAAAATTAATTTAGTTCATTTAAATTTAGTTATTTTGCGTAGTTAATTAATATTATGTGGTGAAATTTATTTAAATAGTATTAATTTATTGATTAATAAAATATTTAGTTAGTAATTTTAGTTATTTAGTTAGTTAAAATGAATTCAAAATAGTTATTGATTATAGTTAGTTAAAATTTCGTTAGATAAAATTAATTCAAAATAGTTATTGATTAATTAATGTGAAGTAACTATTGATTAATAAAAATAATAGTTAGCTAAAATTAAATTCAGTATTAAATAATTTATTAGGAAATTTTGGTAATAATAAAATTTATGGAATTTAAGAGAAATTAAGAGTTGAAAGTAATTGTTTGATATTGTTATTCGGATGGACGGATGGAGGATGGGAAAAAATTGAATTGAATGATTGCCCGATGGATGGGCTGTGTGGTTTGAAATTATTGGTATATTGTTGATATTTTAACAGGTAGATAGTTCAATTTTTAGGGGAGATGCTGCCGAAATTTCGGCAGAAAATAAAATAATTTCGGTAGAAAACAAAATAACTTTCGGTAGAAAAATAAAATAAATTTCGATAGAAATTAAAATAGATTTCAGTAGGAAATAAAATAGATTTCAAAAGAAAATAAATGAAATAAAGTTAGAGAAAAATTTATTACAGAAAAGAAATTAAATATCAAGATTAAATTACGTAGAAAAATTTAGAATATAAAATAAAAATATTAGAAGGGTAAAGGAATATTTAGTCGGATAGAGTTATTTCTTTTTGTATCATTCTTACTTTGCTTAGATCGCCTGGGTCCATCTAGTGCGCCTCCAGGACAACATCAAAGCTAGAATTTCGCTCTCCATCACAGTGAGTAATAGTAAATAATGCATATCAACACTGCATTTGCATAACATTTATTTATAAATCTTATATTTTTATTTATATATTTACAATATATTATAAGTATTTTATCATATATATTATGATCATTATAATTATACTTATATATAATGTGCATTGGATGAAAATTGATGTAATACGTTGAAGAATTGTTTGATTACTTGTTGCTGTGCATTTACTGTGCCTGGTTTGTGTGGAATTGGGATGAAAGTGGGTCACCAGTGGGTGTGAGACTGTTTTCTGTTATACGGATCCTGATTCTGATTTCTGTTATATTCTGATTCTGTTATATGGATTCCTGATTCTGGTTTCTTGTTAGCGGGTAAATGGCGAGATCGGCGCCCCGTGTGCACCTACCGTTACCGTCTGTAACCACAGGTTGGCTTCTTTATTGGGCGCACCGGATAAATCTAATTTTTGATTCGCAGGCCCGCAGGGTTGCCTCCTGTTGTGAGCGCCTGATGATCTTAGATTTGATGGAGACGACCGGGTTGCCTCCTGTTGGGGTATGGGAAAAGAAAAGGGAATTGGAAAAACAATTGAGAGGGCTGGTCAAGTGAGGTAGACGGTCGGCCAGTATGGGGGATCGGCTCCCTTGGTGCAACTTGGAGGATGAGCCATGTGGGAGGAGGTCCTCCATCGGGGGTCGGTGACCTCCACTGACTAATTTCACGTTGATGTGACTATTTTGAAGGTGATATTTTGTGTGCTGCATGTTGTAATGTCATATGATTGACTGGTTGTGTGTTCATTCAGTATACTAGGTCCATTTTTGCTTGAACCTGCATGTGGTGTGTATTATTTATTATTATTCACGTGTATTATTTATTATTATTCACTGAGTTGCAAAACTCACCCCCCAATAAACCTCTCAGGTACTAGGAAGCAGCGGATTCAACTGAAGCTCTGTAATCTTCTCCGCAGAGTTATAAATGTAAACTTAATATTTCTGTTATTTAATTTTGGATGTATACATTATTCTATTATCAGAATGTTATTGAACTCCGCAGTTATAGGGTTGTGTATTTCCAATTGGGCCTTGCCGTATGCGTTGTTTTATAAACGGTTGATTGTATTATTAGACACAGGAAAATCAGTATGCCCATATTATGAACGTGATTGATAATGACTAGGCCCAAACTAAATTTTATTGGAGATAATTAAAATTGGGCCGGATTGTATTTACATTTATATCTTAACTTGTATGGGCTTACTGTTCCTATTAAATGGTATGGAATGTAAATGTATAGTGAGTAATAGGTAAACTACGGGCCTCGGGGGCCTTATGGCTTACCTAGCCCCTAGTGCCGGTCCGGCCCACGGAAACGGTCGTGACAAAAAAGGTGGTATCAGAGCAAAAGTTCATAAGTCTAGATGTAACTGCGGAGTAATTCCTGTCATGTCTTGACATAGTTTTCCTTGCTTTCCCATTCAGCGTGATTCGCAGCTAGGATAAAGTCAAGTTGTTTAATGATTACAAGTTGTTTAATGAGTAAAATTTGTATCCTTGTTCTTTAGAGATGTGATTTAGTTACTGATGCTAACGGGATGGTTTAAACAAAAATCCTTATATGGAATAAATAATATCCATATATAATTTAAGTATGTAAGAAGATAAGTTATATAGGTTTAATAAGTTGAAGTTAGATGATGAAAGTGTGCTATTTTTATTTAATACGTGTTGAATGTGGAATACATCTATAAGAATGCATGATTGTATGTATATGTGTGCCTATAGAAGGGGTATGTTGAGAATGAGTTGATAGTGTAAATTGATAAGAAAACTAGATGGTTCTAATTCAAGGACATTAGGATTTATTTAATTAGGTCGTTCTAGTCCTTAAAATTCAAAGTGGGCCTATACACATTAGAGCTGATTATTAAGTGTGATAATATTCCTTGACCTTAGCAATATTTTATGCCAATTTGTAGTTTTCATTCAATATCCTGGTTTGATGAAGTTTATACTGTTGTCCTCGCCATTAGGTTTTGAAGCCGGAAATTTTCCAACGAAAAGATAGATATTATAACATATGCGAAGTATATCTCTCCATAGGGCACTTTTCTTGCCAATATTTGACCTAACGCTAAATAGTGGAATATACTATCTCATTAATACTTGAACAAAGATGGTAAGCACATACGATACATTTATACCTATAAGATGAGAGAAATTTGTAATAAATTCACCATATACAAGGATTATCATACACTTTAATATAGGATTTGAGATTTTTCTGCGTTTGTTGTCACTCTTCCCAATTTGGTATGATTACATTTAATTGCCAATCTGACCAATTGTACCTTAGATATTCTTATCCATTAGTAGATCAAAATAACTCTGTGGGAACTAGTCAGAAAATTATGTTTATGACTTGTGTAAGGTTTCGAAGATTGCCCAGTATTTAATTTATGTATCTCTCCAACTTTTCTTAGTATGAGTCTTAGAAAGTGGTAATAACGCCAATGTTTCTAAGTGTAGTTATCAACTCTACTCAACTCCTCATAATATTACGTGATTTCCAACGTGATGAATATCATGACAGTGCAAAGATAATTGATTATAAAAAATAAAAATTTTCGAGTTCCATTGGACACCTGAAATGTTTTATAATATTTATGCAAAGCTTTATCTTATTTTCAGGATCATTCCCCTTATCAATCTTAGGAACATAAAGCTTAATGCGGGTATTTAAGGTAGTCAAGATACCAGTTGACAAGTAGTTCATGGAAGTTAAAGATGCCACGCTCCTTTTATTGATATTTTTTTAATTGTTTTTTTGTTTTATTTTAATATGATTATTTTAGTCTTATGGGCTCGAGGAAGTTTATAGACTGGCGGTGAAGAGAAATTGAAGAGAACTCGGTGTATAAAATAAACGTCTAGTTAATAATCACAAACTTTGCTCAATATATCTTGTTGTAAACCTAGTCCACTTGTTTAGTAGTTATGTAGAAAAGAAGGACAGGATTCCTATAATATATTTAGATGTTATCAAAAAATACTTAAATTTCATGTCAAAGTATGCTTTACTTTGTCTTTATTTGTGGTGTTAAAGATTAGAATTTATTTTAGTTTTTTATATTTTTATGTCTTTTTTCTTTTTTTTAGTCCAAATTCAGTATTCTTTATTGTGGTTATAAGAAAAGTAAATTGTGATTCGTAGTAAGAGATAAATTACTTTAATCTTCATGTATTTAGTGATGGATATTGTGTGGATTGTGGCATCTTATGGTTTAATATGGTGTAAGATGTAAATCTAATGGTATTTAGTCTTTTGATGTTTAAAATAATTGTTGCACACTCGATGGTATGTAATTTACAAACGATGATTTTTGTTTAATGTGAGATTCTATGATCCCAGAAGGAGTAAACGACTCTAAGGAAATTAAGGTAATTATGTTATGTAAATAGTGGGCCATGATGATTAAGTGTATTTATGAATGACATCGGACATGGAGAGATAACTGTCCAATTATTGAATTGATGTAATACTAATGAATTAGATAAGTAATGGTGGATCTAATCATATTATGGTATGACTTTTAAGGAAAGAATTAATCGCAGAAAGGTGAAGGAGCATGACTTATTATGATTTAATTGAGATGATAGTCATTACTTAGAGTTTTTGACAAATTTGAAATTATGGGTAATAAGAGTTGATGGAAATAGTAATAATGATACATCCGAGGATTTAAGATAAGGATTTCTATATTTTGGGATTTCATGAGTAAAAAAAAAAAAAATTTGTGAGTTGTGTTGATCTCACGTAGCTTATATGAGAATACATGCTTATTTGAAGAGTGAAAAGATAAACTATAGGACTGTTGAATGTGATAACGGGGTGGTTTAGGATTACATTTTAATTATATTGGAATGCCAACTCATGGGTGTCAATTAGATCATTAATCAATTTAAACTGCTCATGGGTCAATTGAGATACCAATTAGGGCGAAAATTATTAATACAGAATGTGAAGTCAATGTAAAGCTATTCCGAATTTTTTAGTAATTGAGAGAAATTATGATTGAATGAATAGAATTGTGTTATAAATGGCAGTTTATGACTTATCTTATGGTTTAAGGGAATATTTAATTAATTAGGTCCATTCGAGAACTGGTACATTGTAACTCTGATGTTGAAGGATTTAATGAGGTGTTAAACTTGTTTGGAGTAAAGAATGTAGAGAGAACATAATTAAGGTTGAGGATATTCCTACATCGTATGAGATATAAATTTTACAAATTTTGCAGGTGATAGACATTAAGATAGACTTGGAAAAAAGGAATAACCTAATGATATTATTATTTGAATATTCATCGGCATAAAACAAAGGACATAGTTTAATTAGGAGTTGGATTATAGGTTTAACATCCTTAATCTCTTTAATTAGGAGTTGGATTTATAGGTTTAACATCCTTAATCTCTTACTTAGCTTGAGCAAAAAAAAAAAAAAAAAAAAAAAAAAAAAAAAAAAAAAGGGGCACTACTTGGTTAGGATTCTTGACTTTCTAGATAAGTAAATTTCGGTCTAAAAGGTTGATTAAAGACAGAAGAAATAGGTAAATTGGTTTGGAGAATTTTTCATCACGATTCAGAATTTTACATCTTGATTGTAGGCTGGATCTCTTTATGGAAGTGAGTATCATAGATTGGCGTTTACAAATTCTAGAAAATAAATGAAGAATTATCTCGCATGACAACAGCTAACTTGGCTAGTTGCATAAATTCTTGTCACAATTAGTTAGGAAATGGTATGGTATGACAAATTGGAAAGAGGTATAGAGAAGTTAAAAACTAAAATAGGGATTTGATGGTGAATTTAAATTCTCCTTATAGTTGATGTGCTACTTGTTTTTATGGGATTCTCATTAGTAGGATATGAAAGGAGATAGTATATCTATCTTTCGTTGGAAAATGGTTAAATTGATAAATAGGTGATAAATAGGTGATGAACTTGGGATAGAGGTCAGGATCTCCTATCAGTTGATAGCCTAAGAGAATTTCATGATTTTGATTAAAATAAGCTTGTAGTAGTGGTTTGTGATTAATAATTCTAAAACCTCCTGAATTGGTAGGCAACTATCTTATCTAATTATACTATCTTCCATGATTATAGGAGCAATGATATTTAATATTTGGAATTGATGGAGAATGGATGATGTCAGCATGTAGGTTTTTGAATTTTGAAATAAGGGAGTCCAAATTGGGATAGTAGTAAATTTGATTGCATATGTGGATTCTATATTCAGTAAGATTTAAATACTTGGTTTGTGTGATGAGTTTCTTATGGAGTGATTGATCTTTTGCCTGTGATAGCTGTGTGAGTGAATAAATTGACGATACATCAATGTAAGGACACATGATATAGAGCCTAATGAGATTTAATTAAACTCTTACATTGAGCAGAGGTTATAAGTTGATTAAAATTGCTTACGTGTAAAGGTGAATATTAGTGTTGATATCTGTGCCTTTAGGTTATGAATTATGTTGACGACATTGTTAGATATAATACAACTCAAGTTTAAATTTAACTATGGTAATTAAAGTTAGGTAACTGGGGCCTAGGGCTAGATTCATCTCATAATCATCCTACCCTCCCTATAAATTAGATTTGCTTCCCATTGGTTTGTCTTCGTAAATTTAATAAAAATTAGTTCCACTGGTCTGACTAACGAACTCAAAAATATTTATCTCATCTTCTTGATTCATCATTCTAGCTGCTCAGAAGAACAAGTATTCTACTAAATGTGAATGTAATAACTTTTATCAGTTGCAGCATTATGTGAGAAGCACAACCATCATTGTTTCCTAGTTACTTGTTACTGTTAAAATTCGAGGACGAATTTTTATAAGGGGGAAAGATTGAAATAACCCGAATTTTTATTTTCAAAGATATTTCATTTAAATTTAATAAACTGACAGTGTGGAAAATGTATTTAAATATTTAAACGTAAACGTGAATTAATAATTTTGCTTACAGTTGTAAAACCGAATCGGAAAACCCAATTGAAAATTGAAAAATCAAACAAAACCAAAAGATTTGAGCCGAATCGAATGAAATCAAAATCGAATCAGCCCCAACACAACTTTCTAGAAGGCCTCTCCCCTCTATATCCAGCGCAAACTTCACCTCCTCCCCTCCACCATTTCTGCAACCACCTCCCAGCAGCGCCACCTACTGCCACCTCCTCTTCTTTCTCTTCCTCCTTCTCTTCTTTTCTTTCTTTCCTTCTCTTTCTCTTCACCTGCGTTGCGTTCTGGGCGAGAAACCAGCAGAGCAGCAGACCGGACCAGGCTGCATCGCGCCACCTCGCTTGCCGCTCGCCGTCGCAGTAGTAGCTCCGTCCAGCAACCGTTCCTCAGTTCCCGTTTCAGGCGAGCCAACAAGGTTGACATGGAGCAGCACCACGATCGATCTATCGCTGCCACTTGCCCTGCCGTCGCTCCAGCGCGCCTCCGACCACAGGGAAACGGGGTCTGTCAAGCTTCATCTCGCCGCCTCATTCTCTCTCTGCCACTTGCCAGTCAGATCCGGCCATTTGCTTTGCAAGTTTCCAGCGCGCGTAAGCTACCGATCCTCGATTCTAGCAAATTCGACAAAAATTATATTTTGGGGTAAAAATCAATTTTAAATAATTTTAGTTTAACTTGGAATTAATTTTATTATTGTAGTTAATTAAATTTTATGTAGGTAATAATTTTATATAGTATTAATTTGTTGATTAATAAATATGTTAGTTTAGTAATTTTAGTTATTTAGTTAGTTTAAAATTAAATTCAAAATGTTATTTGATTAATAATGTGGAACGTAACTATTGATTCAATAAAACAATATAGTTAGTTAAACTTTAGATTCAGTATTAAATTAATTTATTGAGGAATTTGATAATAATAATGAGTGGAATGAAATGAGGAAATTTAAGAGATTTGGAAAGTAATGTTGACTAATTGTTTATTCAATGGATGGAGGGATGGGAAAATTGAATTTTGATGATTGCCCGAGGATGGCTGTTGTGGTTTGGAAATTATTGGTATTAATTGCTTGATATTTTAACAGGTAGATAGTCCAATTTTTTAGGGGAGATGCCTGCCGAAAATTTCGGTCAGAAAATAAAATAAAAATTTCGGGTAGAAAACAAAAATAACTTTCGATAGAAAAATAAAATAATTCGGTAGAAATTAAAACTTAGATTTTAGTAGGAAATAAAATACGAATTCAGAAGAAAATAAAATGAAATAAGTTTAGGAGAAATAAAAAAAATTTTATTACAGAAAGAATAAATATCGAGATTGAAATTACGTAGCAAAAATTTAGAATATAAAATAAAAATATTAGAAGGGTAAAGAAATATTTTGTCTTGATAGAGTTATTTCTTTTTGTGTCATTCACTTTGCTTTAAGACGCCCGGGTCCATCTAGTTGCTCCTCCAGGACAACCATCAAAGTAGAAACTTTCGCTCTCCATCACTGTGAGAAGTTGGTGAGTTAATAATAAATAATGATATCAACACTGCATTTTGCATAACATTTATATTCATAAAACATTATATTATTTCATATTTACAATATATTTATACAAGTATTTATCATATATATTATGTTTACATCCTTATTAATTATACTTATATATAATTATGCATTTGGATGGAAAATTGGTGTATACGTTGAAAGGAATTGTTTGATTACTGGTGTGCTGTGGCATATTACTTGTGCCTTTGTTTGCTGTGGAATTGGGGAAGTGGGTCAAACCATGGGGTGTGGAGACTGTATTCTGTTATTACGGAATCCTGATTTTGGATTTTCGTTATATTCTGATTCTGTTATATGGATCTGATTCTGTTTTGTAGCCGGGTAAATGGGAGATCGGCGCCTGCCCCCGTGTGCACCTCCGTTACTGTTTACTGTTAACCACGGTTGGCTTCTTTATTGGGCGCACCGGATAATCTAAGATTTGATTCGCAAGCCCGCAGGGTGGCCTCCTGTTTGTGAAGCGCCTGATGATTCCTAGATTTTTGATGGGAAGACGACCGGGTGCCTCCTGTTGGTATGGAAAGAAAAGAGAGAATGGAAAAACAATGAAGAGGGCTGGTCAAGTGAGGATTAGACCGGTCGGCCAGTATGGGGGGATCGGCGTCCCTGGTGCACACGTGAGAGGGATGAGCCCATGTGGACACAAAAAAAACAAGAAGGGTATAGTATCGAAGACGGCTCATCGGGGTTCCGGTGACTCCATCTGACTAATTTCACGTGATGTGACTATTTGGAAGGTTGATATGTGTGGGTGCTGATGTGAATGTCATATGATTTGACTGTTGTGTGTTCATGTTCAGTATACTAGGGTGCATTTTGCTGAACTGCATTGGTGTGTATTATTTATTTATTATTCACTGAGTTGCAAAAACTCACCCCCCCACTACTTTTTCAACCAAACTTCTCACGGTACTAGGAAGAGCGGATTCAACTGAAGGCTCTAGCAATCTTCTCCGCAGAGTTATAAATGTAAACTTTATATTTCTGTCATTTAATTTGGATGTATAAATTAATTCATATTCAGGAATATTATTGACTCCGCAGTTATAGGGATCGTTGTATTTCCAATTGGGCCTTGCCGAGCTGTTTTATAAACGGTTGTGTATTATTAGAACACAGGGAATCAGTATGCCCATATTATGAACTATTGATAAATGACTAGGCCCAAAACTTAAATTTATTTGGAGCATTAATAAAATGGGCGGGTTGTATAATATTTATTTACATTTATTTCTTAACTTGTATGGGTTACTGTTTCTATTAAAATGGTATGGAATGTATATAGTTGAGTAATTAGGCTAACTACGGGCCTCGGGGGCCTTATGCTTACCTGGGCCCTAGTGCCGGTCCGGCCCACGGAAACGGGTCGTGACAGTTTTAAACACCGAAAAAAAGGAAAAAGGCAAGGAAAGAGATTAAAGGTTCTCATATACTTTTGGTGGTTTCACTTGAAGATTGGATGAAAAATGGATGAGAAAACCCAACTCCTTGGTTCTCAATCTATTGGTCCGAGTTTTAAGATTAAAGTATGAGTTTTTAGGATTTTTGATTGTATCTTATGGGTTTATTTTTTTTGTTGATTTCCCAACAAATCTCAGCTTGGATCCAAAATTAACACCAGTTGCCTTTGGATTTTTAGGTTGATTTTTAAAAATGCAAAAGTCTCCCCTTAGTTTCCCAAAAATCCTCCTCTAAAGCCTACCCCTCAATGCCTTATTTATAAACATTTGAGGGTGGGTTGGCCCTATTTCGGGCTAACGTGGCAAAAATGCCTATGTCAGTCCCCGCAACGAGAATGGGCCCACTTTTATTAAATTAGACCTGGTGGCACATGAAAAAATATGGTGCATCGAAAAATGTGTCAGGTGGGCCCAATGCACTTCCTGGGCCCAGTTTCGCGGCAAAAT